GGATGATTAGCATAACATAATGGAGTTGAATTTCAGCATTTTCAAACAAATTGTTTCTAATACAAGTATTATGCTGAGCAAACTATTTTAAACGGTAAAACGTACAATGTCTTTGCCAAAAACGCAAATATATAAATTAATGTAAACACCATTGTTCAGATCAAACAAACGTTTTACCATTTTCATGTCTTAATGTTGTGTTGGTTAATTTTCACATAAATTATTGCATCGCCAATGGAGAATTGAATGATGAGAAGTTGAAACGATACAGAATTACAATGGTCACTTGCGATTAACACCTAACACTCATTCTTTCTTTTTTTGTATACAGAGACTGGTTGAGCAGAGGAGTAAGTACACCCTCTTAGTTAGCAAACCACTGGCAGTGCCATATCGTGTTTAAATTTACTGAACAATTTGTGCATAGTGTTAGAGAATACAACGTTTTCAATGCTTCAATTTAAGCTGTCGTGTTCTATCGTGTGATATTCATATTAATACTTTTACTCTATCACTTTGTATCAAGACAGATCTATTGGTTATATATAATACAATTAGAAATATTATCAAACTTTTCAGCAGCTACACCGAATATGTACTCTTTTTGTTGTCATTGGATATTAATTAATCGGTATGTTATTAACCATTAACCATGTTTGTTGCAGGTCTCACGAGTAAATATAAAGTTGTGAAAGGCCACATAACCTGGTATGAAGGTAAAGATAGTTGTGAAGCTATGGGCTGTATACTAGCAGAACCAAGATCAGCGGAAGAAAACAACGCTATAATAGCAGTAATGCCTGGGACAGGTATATTTACAGGCATAGATTTGTCGTAATTGTAGCAAGCCTAGCCGTTGTGAATTAAGGTTATTAATAATGAAATAATGGAACTTATTTACCAGTGTGTTACGTTGTATTTGTATCCCAGTAATTGCTTTCACTAGCCTAGTTTTATTTTGATATTTCATTAGGTTATTTTTGGATCGGGGTAACCGATCGGGACCATGAAGGGCGATACACTTACTACACAGACGACCAAGACGTATACAATAATGTGCATTCAGAACATCGTAACTACAACTGTGTTGACATTACGTAAGTACTGTTAATGTCACCTAAAATATAGAGCGGTCATAGTTAAGAATGATGGTGACACATCATTGTTTGGAGTGACTGTTTGTATTGTTTCTGCATTACAATATATTACTCAATAACCGATTGACCACGAATGCAATCTCGGTGATGCAAAACATTTCCAAATGACGAAAGATGGTATTGTGATTTATTGTAACTTATACAGTTATAATGCAGTCAATGAACTTATATTTGTAGGATTAGCGATTCATCATGGGGTGCCTATGGATGTGGTTTTAAAAACACTGGTGCAATCTGCGAGTGTGAGTATAGTGTTTGATTTATCTCTACAATACTATCAGTTGTAATATCATTCTAATATATTGGTGGCAACCCAAGCCTTTGGCCAATAAACCATTTCTGTAACTTACATTCGGATTGATTGATTGAATTATGTTATGAGTGAACATAACATTTTCAAAAAACCTATATTTGTTTTCCACTTGTGTTTCACTTGTATTATGAACAAAAGCAGAACAATCATACATAACGTGTGCGTTAATGTTTTTATTAGGCCCTCCTAGTGGTCTGAGAGGTGATCCTCATATGAGGACATTTGATGGGCGTGCTTATACATTCCAAGGTACATGCTGGTACACCCTGTTCAAAGACTGCACCGACAAGTCTCGTTTTGAAGTCACAACTAAGTATGAACCAAGAGAAGATAGTACACCAGACCAAGTTAGAACAAGAGCTACCGCATTCAATATAACTGTTGGAAACCAATACGCGATCGTTAATGGACTGGATGTTACTACAGTGAGTTGTCAATATGTAGTATTGTGATGTTGTAAAGAAAATTTTTAATTTAGCGATCACAAATTGATACTGAATAATTATTCAATCAACAGGGAAGTACAGGTGGACACGTGACTGACTCAAAAGTTATAACAATCCAGGAAGAGGATAAGAATATTAAACTGCACTTCACTTCGAAAGACACAACATTCACTTTTAATTGGACTCTGAGAAAGCATGTATTAGATGTATCATACAATGGCTCTTTTTACAACGGAAAGCTATGCGGTCTGATGGGTAATGCAGATGGTGATACTCGCAATGACTTCCAAAATCCAGATGGTAGCATTGCCAAAGACGTTCTTGAATTTGGTGACAGCTGGAAAGTGAATGACAGAAAGTAAGTTTGTTGTATATTTCTGTATATTAAATAAAATGTATGCTCCACGAACATGTATTAAACATTATTTTGAGATATTACAAAGATAATTTTATCTATTAATCCATTTTTTGTATTCTCATGTTATAGGTGTTTCTAGGAATTCCACAACTGACGAAAGGACAAGCATGGTTACAGCCCGATTAGTTTTTTAGAAATCTATATTTTTCGGCATTTACTTGTGATGGTTATATGTGAAATACACAACAATTCAGATATTTCGAATCGAAGTTAGGCAGTGTGGGTATTATAACTAATGGGCATTATAACACGTGATTGATCATAATCTTCGGGAAATTAGTAGATAAGTAAAACATGTATTGCTCAGCAAGGTTAGTTCAATAAAAAGATGTAGAAATGCACACGATTGAGTTCCAATATGTTGCAACTACGATTGTTTGTATTTAGTGTCAACAATCACTATTAGACATTTAGCAATTGCAAGTTGATGG